CTCCCTCCCTCCCTCCCTCCACCATTTCTCTCTCTCTCTCCTCCCTCTCTCTCTCTCGTGCGCCCGCGTCAGCCAGCACAACTAGTTACGTACGGGCGTTGTGTGTGTGTGTTTCAAACATTAAATATTGACGGCGCTTCTTTATATGGGCAGTAACGTTAACGAGGCAGTTTCCGCGATGTGCGTCAAACCCGTGACTGGTGAGTGCGTCGTGAGTGTTGCGTTCGCTTAGAGCAAACATCGTTCGAAACTGAAATAGTTGACGTTATGTCGCCGTAATGTATGTACACTACAAGAGTACAAGTACAAGCTGCGGTGCCCCGAGGCAGCGGCGGCTATACCCGCCCACTTACGTGCGTGCATCGCGGCTTCATGAACCGAGTACATGTTATGATAGTTATGGGGGCGAATTTTACTGTCGTCTTGACACGGAAGTCGTGCTGAATGTAGCTGAGTCGCTGTGGGAATAAATAGCCCGCGATTGATTCGCGACCGTGTTTGAGGGTGTGCACGAGCCAGTATGCTCTGTTGTTGTCTTCTAGTGTGAGGGTGAAATTCGGTGAATGTGTGAGTATGCGTGTGCGTGCGTGCGTGCGTGCGTGCGTGCGTGCGTGCGTGCGTGCGTGCGTGCGTGCGTGCGTGCGTGTGTTTGTATAATGGTGATACTGCTTCCTTATGAGATGATAATACGGCTAAAGCCCGGCGCACACGTGAGTAATTTTACTCATTAGTAAAATTATGCATGCATCAAAATACTCAACGTGTGCGCGCTAGCTGCGTAAATTTACTCAACACTGGTACTTTTTACTCACATGACGCTGTGCGGCGGACACTGAAAATATTTAGTATTTTGACGCGTGCATAATTTTACTTGATTAAAATTACTCACGTGTGCGCCTGGCTTAAGATAACTTTTGCTCGTGCACCTGCGCATCCAGGAGTGAACGTGCTTTTACGTATTACGAGTGCGTTATTAAGCGAAAGCGCATTTTCATACGAAACGCGCATGTACGCATCAAAACTGCTACGCGTGGATAAATATTTGGGCACTAGCGTGTTCGCGAAATAAGACCACTTAATTCCGTGCTTATCTTGTCTATTAATGTCAAATGTCAGTAATTTATGCTCATACTGTTGCTGCTACTGTTTGTTGTTGCTGTTGTTGTTGTTGTTGTTGCTGTAGTTGCTGCTGTTGTTCGTTATTCTCAAACAATAGAGCGAGTTTACGCTCAGTCATCGATAGCATTAGTCAGATAGGTTTATCGCATAGGAATGATGTAATACCACGGATAAACCTCGCAACAAAAACCTACATACACCACACCTACTGTGAGCATACTTGCAGTATGAATACGTCACGAAATGTTCTCATTGAGCCAGAAATGTGCTCCAAAGTTTACACTTTTGGAAACTTTGTCCGACGCGGTTTCAGCGTATAGATACACATAAGTTTTTTTTTGGAGTGAAGAGACTACAGTAGGCCTACGCTAGCGCAAATAGTTCCTGGAACGAAAACACTATATTTGTTTCCTGATTGTATAAGTGATGTAGATAACGTACGATTTAAACAAATTTCACAATGTTGTACTACATCGAACAATAAAGTATAACATGTGTTATCATAGAAAAGAACTGTTAATGCAGTACAACGTTCGCTCGGCTGTGGACCGGATGTGTAAACACCGTGTAAACATCCTGCGCTGCTACTTTCGTAAAAGAAGTACTTTAGTTTAGATTTTATGAAGAAATGTTGTAGAAGTAGCAATACAAATGAGTTATTGTGAATTTTACAATATGGACGAGCGCACAGTAGGTATATTATCACGAGCGTATTACGAAGATGTATACGCTCTTGATACGTCCTTCTGTATACGCCCTTCTTAATACGCTCTTGATATTATCTATGCATTTTGCTGCGAGAACATGCCGTTTTAAGGCTAAAGCGAGCGGTTATATACGGGTGTGCCTCCAGGTAAATAATACAACAGCATGCAATAACAGAGGCTCTCCGCGTCGATACTTAAGGGGGGGGGGGGCTTATAAACCACCCTTTAAGTAAGAATTGTTGTCCATTCTAATAGATCTCTTGTTGATGCTTCTATTTTCGTGTCTAATTTCGGCCTGGCGATCCCCG